AAATAGATTCTTTATTTATTAGTAACAGTGGGGTCAAGAAACTGAGAAAGTGCAAACCGGACTGTGAGTGCTGGAATAAAAAGTTAGTAGCACATACAAATATGGTTAAATAAAACCTAAACTACATTTTTACAGCAGAGGGATGATTTTGAAAGGGTAGATGTAGCTTTGAGTATGCCCCGTCTAATTAAACACCGCTGAAGCAATCACCAAGGCTGTGTTTAACGATACACGAGGATGCAGTGCTGCATCTCTCTGACCAGAAACTGCAGGGTTTTTTTTTTCCTAAATGCTAAAAAAATAAACAAGGATATTTTCTTGCTAGCAATTTGTGAAGCAGAGAATAACCAATCCTTCGAGTTTTTCTGCTAGAACTGAAAATGTCCTAGCACCAAATTTATAATTGCAGCTTTATATAAATCCATGACATATCAGGTGGAGATAGAAATGATAAAAGTATTAGATGCATAATTGAGTGCAGGTGATATTAAAATAGTACCCCCTAAGCCATAAGTCAGGTTTTGTTTGCTTTGGGGTTTTGTTTTGTTTTGTTTCGTTTTAATAAATACAAAGTAAATCTTGGCAAAGCGGAGCTCAGCTTGAACGCAATAAAATCTCCTAAAGTCTGCCCCTAAAGTGGTCAGGAAAGTCTGTGTTTGGAATTTACCTGTGTGCTTTAACAGATTAATGGACAGTATTAAAAGATCATTTTCAAGTTAAGCAAACATTTCTGGCATATTGTATAACACTTGCTTTAAAATTAAGTTAGTTATTCTGAACTTCATGCCAAATGATTATTTGCTCCATTTTCTGATGACGGTAATATGTGACATACCATCACATAATTTGGTAAAGACAATAAGATTACAAAGCTCAAGAAGGGTCTGAGTCAGTCTTTGACAGATTAAAGCTCTCCAAGTCCCCTGAAAACCCTTCTCTGACATATTAGTTTGACCTAAACCCTCAAAATGTTCCTGATTATATCATCTCAATTGGGCTTTATTTTTGTTTTATTTTTCATTGTAGGAAATTAAAAAAGGGTCGGTTGATCCCCGGCCAAGTTCTTGAAATGTGTTGCAATGCTAAGGAAATAAAAGATTACTCGAAATACTTTTTAATAATATGTCATGTCAGCAGAGATAAAGGTTCACACTTCATGCCCTCAGCTGGCTTCTATCAGGGCTGGGGAGCCCGGTGTCAGCCCCGGCCGGGCTCCGGGAAGGACCCACGGTTCACCTTGCTTTGAAATCATGAGCTTATGCTGTTATAATTATGAACATGTTTATGAAATTTGTTTCATTTCTTCTTTGTAAGAAGAAATCAAGATCCGCCCAGGGGGAGCTGGCCCTGTCTGGGGTGAGGGCAGAGGGAGATAACCCCCCAGAGACTCTTCCCAGCCCTGTTCTCTCTGGCCCTTTCTTGCCCCAATGGATGGAGGTGGCATCTGAGATAACCATAGAATCATAGAATCATAGAATGGTCCAAGGCCGGAAGGGACCTCCAAAGGTCATCTAGTCCGACCCCCCCGCAGTCAGCAGGGCCACCCCCAACTAGACCAGGTTGCCCAGGGCCTCATCGAGCCTCACCTTGAATATCTCCAGGGAAGGGGCCTCAACCCCCTCCCTGGGCAACCTGTTCCAGTGCTCCACCCCCCTCACAGTGAAGAACCCTCTCCTCATCTCCAGTCTAAATCTGTTCCCCTCCAGCTTGAAGCCATTGCCCCATGTCATGTCCCTGCAGGCCTTTCTAAACAGGCTCTCCCCAGCCTTCCTGTAGGCTCCCTTCAGGTACTGGAAGGCTGCTATGAGGTCTCCCCGGAGCCTCCTCTTCTCCAGGCTGAACAACCCCCGCTCCCTCAGCCTGTCCTCGTAGCAGAGGTGCTCCATCCCCCTGATCCTCCTTGTGGCCCTCCTCTGGACCCTCTCCATCAGGTCCATGTCCTTCTTATATTGAGGGCTCGTCCCAGAAGAGCTCCCCAATGCGGCTCAGACACTTGTCCCACATTGGTGTTGGGTGGGTGCATCTGAACACGCCTTGTAGGAAGGAAAGCCATGTCAGAAGAGTTTGGGGCTTCGCGGGGCCACCACTGATAGACATCGGTGGAAGGGTGGAGTAGCACGGGGACAAAACCAACCTATAGTTCAGATTTTGGTACCACATAGCAGGTCTCTGGATTTTGAGACGCCTTGTGAAGGAAGATTAAGTATCATTATCCTCAATAAAAGTTAAATCAAAAGTTAACTAGCATCAGCCTCTCTGAAGGCCACACTAGGAGATGCCAGCACTCCTTCCAGGATGGGGGCTACCTCCTCTCCAGTGGAACCCCAGGAACACGCAGCTCTGCAAAAGCCTGGGGAAGCAAATGCAAGAAACATCCGCCCATATACATATTTTACAGCTCATGTGCATCTGTCCCAACTGCCATTATAAAGGGCATTGTTAGATTTCCACCAGGAACTCAGCTGGATCTTTCAGAGCCCAGTTTGCAGACTGAGAGGCTAACTTTCTGCTCTTGAAATGGGGCTGCAGGCGTGGACCAAACTGGAGCTGGCACCGGGACCATGTCCACAGAGGAAATTTGGCATCCAGGAAAGCAGGCAGCTCCCAACCAGGTACCCCAGGCTGGGTGGCAAGCTCCGACCTTCAGCACCTGTATCTTCACCCATTCATTGCCTCCAAGGCCTTTTCCTTGGACAAACTCCTGTCCCAGTGAGATATGCCAGGAATTTGGTGTATAAAAGTGTGTAAAAAAAAAAGCATATATGGTTATAATGGTGTATAAATGTGTATAATTGTGTATAAATGTGTATAAATGTGTATAAATGTATAAATGAGTGCAATGCCCACCATAAGCTGAGTGAGGAGCATCCTTGGAATGGGGATTTGAGGACAACAGCACGAGTCTGGGATGTTTAAAACACGCGTTTGTCCAGAGTTCTGCCAGAGAGCAGCTGCCTGATGTTTGGTTTTGGTTGTCTCCACAAAGACAAGGCCGTTTTCACTCCGCTGCCAACCCAAGGCTTGGAAGGAATGCGTGCACCGGGGCGCAGACCCTAACAAATGGGACAAGAAATCCTGAAAAGTGAAACTTTTTGAATAAACCAGTGCTCCCCTGAGGCTCTGAGAGGGCTTGTAAGTGGGACAGGGAGTGCTGCACCCCATCCCCTGCCCACCCCAAAGCCCGAGCTCCCTGCAGCACCTCCCGCACCACACTCTTCCCCCCCCCTCGACGTGCTTTCTCAGCTGGCCTGTGAATTTTATCCCTTTTCCACATTTTTTTTCCGTTAAGGCTCATCTATCCCGCTGACCTCCCCGGTGCAGGAAGAGGCAGCAGGGCGAAGGGATGGACAGGGAGGCAGACACTCGCCCTGCTCAGCACGAACACCAGCGTCTGTCCCACCCTAAAAAAAAACCAAAAAAAACCGACCCCCGGAATCCCCTTTGGTGTCGGCTCGGGGCGGGGGGGGGGGCACCCGGACGGAAAATAAATCAGCGCGGTGCTTTCAAACCTTTGCAGGGCGGGGAGATCCCTAGTGGGGGCTGAAAATCGCCGCGCAAATCCAGCGCAGCCCCTTCCCTGCGCACCTGAGGGTTCCTCCCGGAGCACCCCCCCGGTCCGGACACCCCCCCCCCTCCCCCGC